ACAAGGATACAAACATCTTTGGGTTCCTAAATTTGCTTAATTTTTGCATATTATTTGTGACGAACAGTTTGATACGGAATGGTATATCGACAGTGGCTGTTCGTGTCACATGACAGGAAGAAAGGAGGAACTGAGAGAATATAAGGAATTAAAGAATGATGGTCTCGTAAAGTTTGGTAATAATGCACTTGGGAAAATCAAAGGTTATGGGATGATAACTAATGGAAAATTCTCTATTAGCAAAGTAGCATATGTTGAGGGACTACAACACAACTTAATAAGTATTTCACAATTGGTCGTTGGTACAAGATTAAAGGTTTTGTTTGATGATGAAGTATCTGAAATTATCAAGAAGAAGACGAAAGCAGTGCTGCTTAAATCAAAACGCAAATACGAGATGTATCCCTTGAACATCAATCTGATACAAGGGAAGCCTTCTATTTGTGTACCTTCTAAAGTTGCTATAGACGATAGTTAGTTGTGGCATAGGAGACTTTCGCACCTCAATTTCAAAGTCATCAACAACCTAGTTCTTGGTGATCATGTGTGGGGTAATCCACTCTTGAAATATGACAAGGATTATCTATGTGCTGCCTGCGAACTTGGAAAGCAAAGCAGGAAAAGTCATCCAACTATAGTGAACACGAAGGTTATTGAGCTACTCGAACTTCTTCAAATCGATCTCTATGCCCTATCTGCAATCAAAATTATTGGTGGTAATAAGTATATTCTAGTAATTGTAGATGATTTTCTCGTTTCACTTGGGTGTTGTTTCTTAAACAGAACTCTGAAGCAATTCCTAAGCTCAAAGATTTTATCAAGCAGATTGAGTTACAACTACGATAGGTGGTTCGCAATGTCCGAAGTGACAATGGTTTGGAGTTCAAGAACCAAGCATTCGACGAATTTCTTACTAATAATGGATTATCTCACAATTTCTCTTCCCCTTATACTCCAAAGCAAAATGGGGTTGTTGAAAGACGAAATTGTTCACTATGTGAAGCTGCTACGACCATGCTTTTGTTTGCAAATCTACCTCTTTACTTCTGGGTTGATGTTGTTGCCATTGCCTACTTTACACAAAATAGATCTCTTCTTAAAAAAAGATTCTCTATTACTCCCTATCAAATCATCAATAAACGAAAACCTAACATCAAGTTCTTCCATGTTTTCAGTTCCAGGTGTTTCATTTTCAATTTCAAGGAACACCGAAACATGTTTTATGATAAGGATGACGATGAAATTTTTCTGGGATATTTGCTTACATCAAAAGCATTCGATTGGATTGAAGAAACCTATTATGTCTCATTCGATGATAATTACTTAAAGAATACTCAAGTGAATGATTGTCAAGGAAATGAGATCTTTCCTCAAATAAACCAAGTGACCATTCCATTGGCTAATCTTTATGAAGAATTCATGCTTCTGTTTGATGAACCAGAGAAGGCTATCACTTTTGAAGTGAAAGCAGCTGACAACAAGTTCAATGAATTAAATAAGATAATTGATGAAGCTATGAACAAAATGGACCATTAGCCAACAACTATGAACGTGCCTCAAGACATGAGCACTGAAGTCCAGGGGGAGAATTCTGACTCTAATGCACATCCGCAGGGGGAGCAACCGTCTCCACAAGAAATGGACATTCTGTCTCAGGGGGAGGATTCACCTTCAAATGTCGCACACAAAAGTCTAGTTGAGGGGGGAAAAGCAAATGCAGTCTTTGAGACTCACTCATCATTTGAGGGGAGAATCCAAATGTGAATGATGAAATGGACGTTCAATCTAAATTCGAAGAAGTGAACGTTGAACTGGATCTATCTTATGATACGAATTACCCTCCACTAAGGACATGGACCAGAGATCATCCGAAAGAACAAGTGATTGGTGAATCGTCTGTAGGAGTTCTCACATGATCTTAATTAAAAGTGAAAGAGACTCCTTTATTCTCTCAAGTGGAATATTGTATGTGTATTTCATTTGTCTCCAAGATAGAACCTAAAATTGTCAAAACTACTCTCGATCACTCTAATTGGGTACAGGCAACGCAAGACGAGCTCAATGAGTTCGAAAGAAACAAGGTTTGGACATTGAATCCCACTCCACCGTATGCATATGTGGTTCATCTGAAATGGGTGTTTCGTAAAAAATTGGACAAATAACGCAATGTAATAAGGAACCACGCGAGACTCATGATTAAGGGATATTCCCAGGAAGAGGGTATCGACTACGAAGATACAATCGCACCCGTTGCAAGGTTGGAATCTATTCGCATCTTCTTGGCATACCTGGAGTCATAAATGAAAAGTATCCTGATCACTACTATATTTTGGACAAGGCAGTTTATGGTCTGAAGCAAGCTATAGGAGCCTGGTATGAAACTATTACTTGTTTCCTTAATATTTCTAAATTTAAATAAGGTTCGGTTGACCCAACCTTCTTTCATAAGAAAGAGGGTGACCACTTGATGATTGTCCGAGTTTATGTTGATGACATCATCTTCGGTTCTACTAATCCCAACTTAACAGTTGAATTCCGAAAGTTGATGGAAACCAAATTTGAAATGAGCTTTATGGGTCCAATTAACTTTTTCCTTGGATTGAATATAAGACAGGGACCATAAGTCATTTTCATAAATCAAGAAGCATACATGAAGACCTTACTGACCAAGTTCGAAATGATGGGAGACTCTAAAGTGAAGGTTCCAATGGCATTCAGAATGAAACTAACATCTTCTCTGGAAAAAAAAATAGCTGCTAATATGACTCTTTATTGTCAAATGATATGGTCCTTAATGTATCTAACAGCTAGTAGACCATATATTATGTTTTCCGTTTGTTATTGTCTTAGGTTCCAAGCTAATCCTCACAAACGTTATATGATGGCAATTAAGAATATTTCAATATACCTGAAACGAACCTCATCACTCGGTATATGGTATCCTGTGAAGTCAGGTTTCTTCGTTCAAGCTTTTTCAGATGTTGATCTATGAGGATGCAGATTAGATAGAAAAAGCACAACCAGAGGATGCTAATTTCTCGATGGAAAACTTTTCAGCTAGTTGTCCAAGAAGCAAACTAGTGTCTCTTTGTCAACCGCTGAAGCTGAGTACATTACTACTGCATCGTGTACTTCTCAAGTCATATGGATTCAAAGTTAATTACGAGACTATGTCCTGAACATGAAGCGAATCCCGCTCTATTGTGATTCCGAAAGCGCAATTTGCATCTATCACAACCCAGTGCAACATTCAAAGACTAAACACATAGCGTTACAGTACAATTTCATCAAGGATCATGTAGAACATGGCATCATTGAGATTCATTTCGTACGATCTGCATACCATTTGGCTAAGATATCCACGAAAGCCTTGCCTGAAGTAGTCTTTAATAAAATACTTCAAGGCCTAGGAATGATGGAAGCCAAATGTGTTCCAAAACTACTTTAGCTTTCGCAGTAATCTTTTCACTTTTGTTTTTACTTTTAAGACGCAAATTGGTGCGAACTCTCGTCTAATTCATTTTCGATTTTTTGGGACACGAATTGAGACGAATGCTCGTTCTATTTCGTATCTTAAATTCTTTTGGCGAATGCTCGTGTTCTAATCCTTTTGTATACTTTGTGTATTAGACTCTCTTATTTCATTTTATATTTTTATTAAAGCTTTCAAAACACAAAAATATTTTCTTTCTGTTTTTATCTCTTTTTCATAAACTTTCAAAATACAAAAATATTTTCCTTTTGTTTGAATTTCGTTATTTCCTTGAGTAGCATTGTAGGTTGAAGTGCAACAAAGAATCGTCGGGTAGGTATAATTTTTATATCTTTGTACTAGGTAAGTGTCCATAGAAGCATGTTATTTTATGTTGTCCGAAGCCTCAATAGACTCTATGTTAAGCCTTAATGAATTGAATCCACCATTCGTTTCTTCCCAATTAGGCTGCTAAATTTACATAAGTCATGAGCAACCTTACTCTTCTCGCATCGAGTTAAGAGTTGTCTACTTGGTCAAGTTCATTTAGCAGAGGTACTTTCGGTTCTTTATCCGCCTTCATTCTTCTCCATTAGCTTTCGCATTCATAAGGTAACCCTTGAGATTATCATATATACCATTGAGGTTTATGGTTACAAAACATTTGCATTCATGATCTTAGCTTCATTCACCACGAACTGAATGAAACCCACAATCCAACACACTTACATGAATTGATGGTGAACAATTACAAGGTTCTAGCTATCACCATGCAATTGACGAAACTCCACCTTTGTGGATTGTACCATGAAATCTGTTTTTCTTTTTGCGAGATCTTGATGAATTGTTCGTATACCAAGACTTCTCTTCCCATAAGATCCAGTTTAATTTTTTTTAGATTTCACACTTTAATCGAGTCACTAAACTAATCTCAAACCTATTCGTTCAACTGACTACATTGGTCACACGAGTACTTCATCCGACATTCGTTCTTATATTAAGTTCGTTGTTTGGTTGGAGAGTTAGACACCCAATAGCCGAATTAAAAGATGGCTTTCATTGTTTTTCTCACAACCAAATGATCGTACCTCACCGGGAAACTACACGAACACTTTATAGTCTCTCTTGACTTTGAAGGAAGAGATTCGTGCCCGGGATCCATAGATTCGTGTCTTATATGACATCACTAAAATCCCACATATAAACTTGATTTATTTCTTTATCTTGGCACACTCTCGCACGAAGATCTTTATGATTTTCCACAGTCTGGTTCATGGAACTTTTATTTCTTTGGTTTCGCAGTTTTGGTTGGTGCTCGCTTTAATATGTCATTGTCATAAAAGCATCTCAAAAGCGAAATATGATACAAAGGTTATTTCAAAGCTCAAAAGAAATTTGAATCGTCGGGGAATATTGATAACGCAACTTTTTGGGGAAAAATCTTCAAATTTTGGGTGTGTAGAATTTGAACGGTTTCCCCTCATCACGTCGTCTGACACCTTTTTCCAATGGCCATAGTTGTCATATCATGTGTGTTTACGCACTTTTTCAGAATATAACAACAATTAATGTTTCAGGGTCAATCGTTACAGGAGGTTTTGTGAAAGCGAAGTCCAAGGTCACAAGAGGTTCTGAAAATGTTCTACACGAATTCACTTATGTTGATATGTCCAATCGTAATCCTCATAACTGGATTATGTTGGTTAAATTTTTGATGCTTGAAGAACAAAAGTACGAACCCATTCTCGCTCACATAAAGCGAATGTTGGTCTTGTATATATGTGAAGTGGCAAAGCTTCAAATAGAAATAGTTGTTGTTTTGAAACGAAAGCCCACTATTAACCCGATTGGAAGGGCAAGTGATATTAGTGAAATGTGAATGGGCAAAACTGATTTGGAACACTACACTGTGATGTTCCAGCATGCAAATATGCTTCTAGATCTTTTCAAAAGTGTCTTTTTGCTTTGATCGACAAACACCTATTCTCCACATCATGTTTGCAACATATTTTGGAGATTGTCAACAAGTGTAAATCAAATGATGATGCTGCGACGAAGAACTTCAATGATATGATTCAGTGATACATTGTTTTTCGCGGTACTTTACTCGATATTATTCCCAAGCTTTTCAATACGATCAAGAAGACTCAGTAGTAAAGTGTCTTTCATCTAATTAATGCAAATGGGGAGATTGTTGGGTGTTAGGTGTTGCATCACTGGGCTGTTTTGTTTTTAGTCCAACATGTATACAGTTTGGGCCTGTCTAGCCGTCTTATTGATTAGTGTTTATATATATATATATATATATATATATATATATATATATATATATATATATATATATATATATATATATATATATATATATATATATTGCATGCATGTACCGTAGGCAGTTAAGGTTTTTATCTTTGGAAATCATTTTGTAAACCCTAGCACGCCTCTAAAGTTGAAATTCTTCATCGAGTTCGACTGAGGCGTGACTTTTAATCATTCAACATCCGTTTAATTATTATCGTGTTCTTGATTTACCTGTTTGAATCTTATCGATCTTTTAGTTTTTAATCTCATCAAAAATCAATACGGTTAAATTAATATTTTTAGATTGGATAGGGACCAAGCGTACAAATATATATATATATATATATATATATATATATATATATATATATATATATATATATATATATATATATATTAGGGACGTCTGGGTTAAAAAAAGTTGTAAGAGACCAAACACGTAGATTACACTAAACCACAGGGACCATCCGTGTAATTTACCCAATTATTTATAATTAGAAAAATATATAAAAAAATAATAAAACTATATATAAAAAACATAAATGATTTAATAGTCCTGACAATGACTTTGTTTTGTTTTTTTTTTCCTAAATTAAAGGTTTTTAATGGGTGCTAATCAATTGGAGTTTTGGAAGAAAATTAAATATACTTTATTATTAATATATATCTTATTTTCTTAATATTTGTATAATAGTGTATACAATTGCTAAAGACTTTATTAGTAAATCTTATTTTTCTTTTCCCAAATTAAATAAATAAAAATATCAAAAAAAATTGGATTCCTTTAATTTAAAATATATAATCGTATATTGGATTTTGTTTGGATGCATCTAGTCAAGACGCATTTTAAAGAAAATGGGTAACACATTTTATTTCGACGCATTAAAAAAATGAGAAAGAAACCAAAATAAAAAAATATATTTTTAAGAGCATAAAAGTTAATGTGTTAGTGTAATATTTATAAAGATACCGAAAATAAGAAATGATACTTATTAAAGGCAATCTTCAATTTATATTAATCCCAATATTTAATATCATTCATTTAACAAATAACCCTAAAATATTTTAAACCTTTCAAACCGATTAAACAGACAAACACGAAAGTGATGTTTGTTTTTAAAAGGTAAAACGTCTGCAGTATGCAGACAACATTTGTAGCCATGAGCAAAAGAAGATGTGGATCAAATATCAGCAATTTGCTAGAAAAATATTGTTTATTTTTTAAAGTCGGCAGGACACTAAAATAAACTAAATGTTATTTTAACTTACAAAAAAAAATTATCTTCTCAATTACTCTTATCAATAATTGCAAATTCAAAACAATATTCATTCATAAATAAAAATAATACATTGATTCAAACCATTTTTAAATTACGAAGTGCTATTTCACTCTACAAAATAGTTTTGCAAAAAATGAAAACATACAAAGTTAAATTTCAAACATATATGAAGCCTTCTTAATAAAATTACATAAAGGCAAAAATGCTCCCTTCTTAACCTGCATAAGCTTCCCATTTAAAAAATCTTTTGAGGATGAAGTATGTACAAAGCAATAGCTTCGAGTAAAGGACTAATGTTTTCTTAGAACTTCATAAACAACTTCATCAAACTGGATACAATTAATAATATTTCTATAAAATAAGCATAAAATTCATCAGTTTTTATTGAAAATCAACATTTTCCACATCAATAAACAATTGTTCATTTGAATCAAATAATCCGTCTTTAATTAAAAAAAATAAATAAATAAATAAAAAAATTCATTCTAGCATTTTTTCAAACATTTTCTAAGCGTGTAAAAGTACAAACAAATTGAAATAGATTTATAAAATTGGAGTTAAAAGCCAACAAACACCTTCAATTAAATACCACCATTAACAATAAAGTTTTAATAGAACAAATTTGGTGAAAAAAACAACAGTCAAGTTTTATCTCATGTAGGAAGGAGTGAAAGACAAACAAAAACTTGGTTGAATCATTAAAGAACCAAATTAAACCAAAAAATTATTCATCCTTGTGATTAAATCCTTCAAAAACTAAATTAAACAAAACTAAATTAAATAAAGAGAAACAATTTCTGAACCTAGTAGCAAGAAAGATGGAGCAAGAAAATAGAAAAATACAACCCTAGCAGCCGATTTCAGACCCTGGTAGCAAGAAGATGGAGGTGTTTACCTGTGGAGAAAAGAAGAAGGAGAAGAGAAATTGTACCTGAAGTTGATGGGGGAGTATATGTATGACACTGGTCATTGATGGGTGTAACGTCGATGGTTGTAATGGCTCTAGTTGTCGACAGAACGATGAGGAGGACGGCGAGGGTACGAAGGGGACGAAGAAAAAGATGAATGGTAAAGGAGGGAGGCGGTGATATGTTGAGAGCGTATTATTATTATTATTATTATTATTATTATTATTATTATTATTATTATTATTATTATTTTGATTTTTAGGTTTTGAATAGGTGCAAAGATGTGAGAAGATACAAGGCCAAGTTTACACCATGAAGACCACGTGCATATATTTTTATGTTTGCAGAATTCTAAAAAACAAACAAACTGCAAATCTTATATTTGTGGTGTAAACATAAGAGGTTTCGTATATCTATAGACAAAAAACAAAGACAACCTATGATATATACAAATGATCTAAATGATCTATACGAATAAAACCTTAAAAAATAGTATTAAATTGTATAACTGTATCACACTAATTGTAATGGACTCTCTCTCTCTCAATATAATAATAATACTTTTTTAAGACGTTCAAGTCTTTAAGTTTAAAGTACAATAAACTATTAATATAATAATATTATAATATATATCTTACAAATGATAATGCTAAGGATACAAGTATTAAAAACACATTTAAATTAGTATTTCCTTGTTTTTAGGGGTTGAATTAGTATTTTCATAAATTTTGACCAAACTTGTACTCCTAAAATATCTCTTCTCTGGAATCTGGTGCATTCGAAATCTGAAACACTTCTTTTCGACAAATCGTTTAAAATTTAAAAGGTCATTAAAATTGGAGTTCCCTAATTTTTTGCATTAATATTGTTGACTGGAGACTAATTCAAATCTTCATCTCCTTTTTCTCCATGGAATCCACAACCACAATATTTTTTGGTTTTGGCATTGCACTTTTTATTTTTGTGAAACGGATCGATAATGGTGCAAGTGTTCTTAGAAATATAACATGTCTCCGAATGGAACTAATTGCTTGAAAGAAACTATTCACCGCTGCCGCTTTGCGCTAGCAAACGGCTAGTGTGTGTGTGTGTGTATATATATATATATATATATATATATATATATATATATATATATATATATACTATCTTATAAAACAAATCCCACTATTTCTAAACATAGATTGAAAAAAATAATAATATTTTTTTAAGACGTCCAAATCATTAAGCTAATTGTACAACTAATCACTAATAAAATAATATTAAAATTTAAACAAAGTCCTATAAATCTTCTCTTCCAAGATTTTGACCATATCCTTTTTCATCCAAATAAATACTCAACACCCTATAATTTGGTCATTTCATGAATTTTCTTTATTTTTTATATAACATGTTTTCTCAAACAAACTAATGATTGAATTGAAAATAATCATTCTCTATCGATACTCTTTTCAGAAAATATCAGATTTTCTGGTGGTTTTCAAAACAACACAAAACATTATATTTCAAACATTACTTATGAACTCACCAACATTTCATATGTTGACGTTTTTCAAAATACTTGTATTATCAGGTAACATGTAAATCGAAGGGAAAAATGTACTCAGTGATGTCTTGTTGTTTGTTTAACTAGTATCGAACAATCTACTTTTGGGAATGTAATGTTTTGAAACAATGTACTAAATGTAAACACTACCAGTTGTACTATTTCAATGCATGGTGATCAATGATGTTATGTTTCATGTATATTCACTGTGATGGTATTCAATTGAGTCACAACAGCCCTCAGACGTTTCCGTCGTCTGGTTCGGGGGTGTGACAGGTTGGTATCAGAGCTTTGTTTATAGTGAACTAGCATATCTAACCACATATTGATATGCAACTATAAACCAAAAGAGGGACTAACCCAACTCTAAACAAAACAAGTAAAACACAACAATAAAACACCCTTGCTTGCATTAGGAATAAGAACATAACACCGAACCAAACAATTATAATGCTAGTATCCCGGTTAATTCAGGACTGTTCTTAGTGGTATCAAGGAGTGGATGTAGCTTGATCAACTACATTATCTCCAAGGTATAACTAACACATGTTCTGATGAGATCGCGATAGCTAGGGAATCTAAAACTATACCCCTTTAGCACCAAAAAGAGAACGCCTGTTTAGTCTATGAAATAGTGGTAGAGTCATAGGGTAATGATAGTTTATTCGTATACCTTCTCCCAATCTTCATGGAAGGAGAGCAGCCGGGCGTTCAGTTTCATCAAGTCCTAGTGGCTCACGGGATGCTTGAAGTTGAACCAGAAGGGAATCAAGAGGGAGCACACGACGTCAGACCTGATGAGTACATGGACACCGACTACGAGTTCGAGGAGACCGATGATGAC